TTACTCCAATCGAATTTTCCGCCTATCCTGAGTCTGAAAGGTGTACATTGTAGAATTCGATTATATATGTATGTTAAAAACCATCAAAACCAGCAGACCAAAAATGATTATAATTTATTTTTCGCTGTTGATCAACTGGCAGCACCTGTCGAGACCAACATCTCACGAGCTGGGGGGTATACAATGACCTCAAAATATATTTGGCAATTCTAATGAGTTGCCAAGGCTACTTGTTGGCTGCAGTTAATCGGAAATTTCCAAACACTCCGTTAAGCGTAGAAACATAAAATGTGGTTCGTTTATTTTAAGTAATTCCGATTCAAAAATGCGGTAGTGCCAACTTCTTTCTCAATGTTATTGTTGTTGTTGTTGTATCAGCAGAGTACAACCATCCTAGGCAGTATTGTCATCTGATTCGGTGAGCCCGAGGCCGGTAAACCGGGCGACGTCGCATTGCAGGTGCATTCGACGAGATGCGGTGTTATGAGACCAGTTTCTTTACCACTTCTGAGTAACTGATGGGTCTATGGCACCACACGAGCCGAGTTCTGCTGACTATGCTTCCATTTTGGAATGAATCGGGGGCGAATAAAGATCGCGGAGGTTGACTTAGACTTTGACTTTCCCGACAGAAGCGACTGGGAACTTAATATCGCTCTAAGCGATAACGAGATCCTGATATTTAATGTCTTTGTGAGAGACCTATACACTTCAAGATTGCTGCTGAGTATTTCGGGTAGTAATGTGTCCATATGTGCAAGTGACATGGCGTCCATGCTGGTAATCATGATCGACCTAGCTTTATACATACATACTTGATTTCGCTGTGGGAAGTGAAGCGTATATGAAGGCGCGTGGATCGATAATGGATAACTCTACACATGCGTACACACAGTGGTATTCCGGGAAATGAGGAAGCGACTCGAATTTCTGGTGGCCCACTGCTTTAAGAACTTCAGCAGCTTAGGGGAAACTCAAAACCTATAACCCATGATTGTCTCTTTTGTGACTTACCCCTATGTAGGGTGGCCAGATGCGCAGCTTTAATCAGTACATGTGTTGATTTTTTTCTATTGTACTGATTTTTAAGAGCCCGAAATCAGTACGCAAAATCTACTGATTTTTTGAGTTTGTACTGATTTTGTACTGATTTTTACATTTAATAAATACTTTTGTAAATTGGTGTAATTGACATTTGCTTGAGGTTTACATGTTCAAAACAATGGTTTTTGGCAACTCATACGTGTGAGCAGATTGAAACCATTATTAAAAAGGTGTCAGCTTGCAATTGTTTCGTTTCCTAGGATTTCGCAAAATAACAAACTGTTTGGATTCAACCCAACCCAACTTCACTATTTGCAGGTTTTACAGGATTTACAGGAAAAGCTGGTTTCGCCATTAATAAATCTTATGAAAGGTGGTTGAATAACTCAGTGAGAGGGGAGACCAGTATGTTTGCATGTATGTATTTATATAAAAACAAAATATTTATTGGTTCAAAAATGGTGGGTAGGCACTGTGGCCAATGGTAAAGTTCGTTGGCTTACAACCATGCAGAGTCCGCAAAATGCTCCGAACGCAGTGTCCAGAGGATGCATCAGACTAGGCCGAGCATACTTTGAAGTGCCATCTAATTAGAACTTACGAAAGTTCAATTACATGGCAGTTGAGAAGTGCATGTGCAAAAATTTCCTAAATTGCATAAAGGAAATTTTTGCACATGCAGCAGTACATAGCATGTATTTAGGCGCCTGGTGTTAGCAGGCGCGCCTAAACAGTGGTGGTGAGTTTATCATATATTAAGTACACTGAGAAGATGACAATAAGAGATAATGTTTTGATTATAATTAAACATCCACTGAGAAATCGGCTGTCAGTATCTCAAACTTAAGACAACTACTGCTACGGTGCAATGTAAGTTCTAAGAATTTGGAAAAGGTGCAAACTACCGACTCTTGGATATGATATATGTAGCTTTGAATGTAAATGTTGTATTTAATAAGCACACCACCTAAATATGTCTTAAATTTGTAGCTTAAAATATACAAACAGATTCGGACTCGAGCTCGTCTTCTACTGAAACTGAATAGGCTACAAATTTTTTTTTAATTTTCTCAATTTTTATAAATATTCTAGAAAGTTTGAGACTTCAACTCACTTGTCTTTTGTTATAGAATTAATTATATTTTTATAAAAAAAATTAAATTAAGTAAGGAAAGAAAAAAATTTCAAAACCTGTCAATACATTTTACTACTATTTTCGTGAGCACAGCTGTACATACATACGTAATACCTTTGATTTGTTTTAAAGTAATGAATTTTTATATTGATCATATTATATGTATTTCAAAGTCTATTCGGTATTTTTTGTTAATTAATGGACTGTTATTTGGTTGTTATATTGTTAATAATAATAAAAAAACGCTTAAAAATGAGCTGATTTTTATGGCTTTGTACTGATTTTTGATCCCAACTGTACTGATTATGTCACTATAATATCTGGCCACCCTACTCCTATGCCACACACTTGGGGTCCTACATACATACATATATACTTCAGATGCTGGTAAGGGCCACTTCTTTAGTGCGCGGTCAAATCTGACTGTAGTTTAAACGCTCGCGATAGCTGGTTTAAACTCTAGTTAGCCACTCAAATGATCAGATGTTAAATATGAACGCAGTAAAAAACTGGCCCTAAGAAAACATATCGTAAATTTTGAAAGAAAATCACATGCATGCCACCATAAGTACACGCACACACACACACACACACCTTTGAATGGCAGACTACACGTAGGCGTCTTGTGACAACCAAAATTTGTTGTGGAGCAGAAAACAGAAACTGAATGAACCAAGAAAACGAAAACAAAATCTTTGCGAAGGAGACTTAGTCTATATGACCCATAGAAAATGACAAGAAATTAAGTGAAATTTATCGATGACAACTGTCGGCCATAATCATCGATGTATGAATGTAGTAGTTCGCGTTGTTTTTTGTTCTTACTGCGTCGCCCATTGGTGCTGCCTTTAGCACGGACGCACAAACTCACTCACACACTCACACACCTACACATGTTCGTGTATGAAGGTGTCTGTGGAGAAGTGAAAAAATTCGAAACAAAAAACAACAAAAATATTCCATTTTCTGTTGAAAACCTTCACTTTTGAACTGAAAAGCGGATTGTAATGAGCGGAATGAGTGACACGTTCGCATTCATGTGTGAACATACATACATATCGTCGATGTTTTTTCAAAACCGCCTAAATCGCCGTTGTGGCAAAAATGAGATTTGGTAATCCTGAACTCCAGGCATTGAGATTTATGCATAAAAATCGTTAAATCGTTATTAAAACAACAGATTTGTAAAATATTAGCTAGAGCAGATACCGCCTCTCAAGCCAATGCCTTCAAAGAATAAACCGTTTTTTCGCTCTCCTATAAAATTTGAGTGCCGCAAGTAAGGCGGTTTTGCAAAAACGTCGACGATATGTATGTATGTCCGTATATGTGTGCATATGTATGTACACTAGGGTGGTCTAAAAAGTAAAGTCGGAAAAAATATTTAGAGGACGCTCAAAGCGGTCAAAGCTTTTCATGTATTTAATATGGGGAAAAAACAATATTTTTCGATCGGAAAACTCCGGTTCTCATTTTTTAATACTAGCGATTTTTCATGAATGGGTCTCCCATTGCATTTTCTAGGGATTTTGGCGGACCTATGACATATAGTTACTATAAAAAAATGGTTAAATAAATAACTGAATATTATTGATGGGAGTCTCCTGAGGAGAAATGGCTATTTTTCTGATCGAAAAATATTGACTTTCAAGAATACTGTACCATTTCTACGAAAAGTTCTTTTTTTACATAGCAAACCTTGAGCGCTTACAGCGACCTCTAAATATTTTGTGATTTCAAAACAAAAAAAATAGGAGTAAATAATTTTTCCATATAGAACAATCCTAGGGGCGAGAGCATTTAAATTCCGACATTACTTCTCCCCGCCCTCCCCCCATATTCGTTTTTGGACCACCGTAATGTACACACATACGTACTAATTGCGCACCTACAACATACGGCCAGTTTTGTCTGTCTGTTCCGTGTGGGAGGTTGCTACTGGATTCTAAAACCATAGCAACTCCGGGCTGCATTATCGCCTGCCCCCTCCCACGGCTGCTCCTGGCCTGCAACAGCGACACCTTGTGCCTGAAGTAGCTCAGTAGTGGCCGTTTGGGGCCTGTCACTCTGCCAGTCAGCTGGTGTCAGTGTGTGCGTGAAGCATGTAATTTGCCACCTACCAAAGTGTCAGTACATACATACATACGTGTACATAGGGTAGCAATAAAGTTGAAGGAAAAAAATATGAGCTACTACATTATATATACATACATATGTATGTAGTACGAGGTTGGTAGTTGGACTGTGTTGGATGTGTTTTTGTTGTCGGTTGATGGTGTGGGTGCTCTTTGGCAGCGATTGTGTGTGCATATGTATGTACGTTGCGAGATGTGCAGAGCAAAGAAGAAAAGTGGCAATGAGGCAAAACGTTCCCAACAAAACGTGCTAGGCAGTGAAGTTCTCCGAATCCCTAGACATTCAGACAGCTTCACGAACACATAGGTGCGCCAAATGCATCTGTAGCAACTTCATGCTGGAGATTTATGTACATAGTGAATCGTGGCTATATGCACTTAGTATAAGTATAGGTACGCACATTTATACATCGGGACAAATACAAAGGTTTATTAGTTTTCGCGAGTTGAAAGTTTATAAAATTTAAATAAAAGTGTTTCTTACTAGGGAAAATTTCTTGCTTTTTGTGCAATCGGAACTGGAACAACCCATCGACGAGCTTTCACTTGCAAAAGCTCTATACTCATATAAGCAAATACATAAGTTCAATATAAAGTCTCCATTGCAATCTAACCTAACTTAATTTATTATGTGCGTTTTCCTCTTTTAAATACTTAATATTTTCCTCCTTTTTATTTTCAGTTTTTACTTGCAACAAAGGAACCTCATGTGGAAGGCGCGTCGTCGTCGTCGAGTCCACTGATTGCCATAAACAGAATTGTTGTTATTAATCAACCGTTTTAGTCATTCACTAGTTCGCCGTAAAGCATAATTGCTGCCATAAATTTGAATAAGATAAATTAAATTAAATGGAGTAAAGAAAGGTCTTTTCTTTAAAACGTGGAAACTTAAGGATCAGAGCCGATTCCCTGTGGCTTTGGGGTGGCATTAAATTCCGGGGTTTTGCTAATTGCAACATTTATGCGGAAAAGGAAAGGTAAGCTAATTTCAGTGGAAAGCTTCTTAGCCGGTGATGAGCAGCGACTTGTCCCCGGGCAGATTTTGTTTGAGGTTTCTATACATTTTGTATAAATGCGTGCAGTAAATGCTCTCACTGCCCATCTAATGGCCTAAGCACTAAAAATATCCCTTTCTGCCATTACTTCTCAATGATCAAATATTGGTTGGTCTAAAAATTAAATACCCATGAATATTTCAAATTATTGTTTTTTTTTTTTACTCAGATACATACATATGTATGCATATAAACCATAATGTAAAACCATAATGCCACAACTGTAGAGCTTCTGTGGTGTTGAAGTTGTTAGTTTAACGGCATTAAGTGAGTTATGCAAAGGCCGGTTCACATGATAATTTTAGGGCGAAAGGGTCGTTCTATTTGGAGGATGTATTAAAACCTCCCAGAAAAGCTCTCTTTATTTTTAATGAGTCGTCCAACTTTTGTTTGTCCGGTGTTGTCTTTATGAAACACAACCCCATTTTTATTTAATTTTAATCAATTGCGGCCGATTTTTTGACCTAAAATTGTTTACTTACATTTACATATATATAAGTATACACGCAAACATTTTCAATATGTAATGGTTGGTATAGAAAAACAATGAACTCTGGAAAAAAGCTAATATTTTATCCAACCAAAAACCTTTTCGTATAAAAGGGGAAATATACGACACCAGCTTGCTGGCTCGATCAAGTGATTGTACCATCAGGCTCGAAGCATATAACTTATCAGCATGCTGGCACAATATTTATTTCTTTACAAATGAGGTCGAGGGAAAAAAAAAATAGATCAAATTAAGCATATACAACTTTTTCATGACAAGTATGAATAAATTCTCCAAAGGGCTAAAAAAAGGGCTAGGGGCAATTTTAAATTTATGTGGCCAAAGAGAGTATGTGGTAGCTAAATCTAGCCACCAAAGGGCTAAAACGGGAACACTGCCGCTCAACTACTTACACAACCATTCGCAATTAATTCTTAGATTTTTTCAACAGCCGAATAGTATAGGCATCTTCTAAAATAAATAATCCGAAGCCACAAATATACTTAACCCTTAACGCACACTTTGTGTTCTTTTAATTAACGGCTGCCTATTTCCTCTCCTCTGCTCGGTTAGTTGTTTGTGGCTGGTTGAATATACTATATTCACCATTTGGAGACGCAGCCATTGCAAGTAAATAAATGTGCAACAGTTGCAGTTGCCTGATTTACAGTGGGCCAAGTCGTTTGAATCAAGAAGTGTCTGTATCCATGAGAGGATTTATTGTAAGCCTCTGTATTTATAGCATTTTCAGTTTGAATGAAACTTTTTTCTAATTAAATGTAACCATTTTCAGATAAAGCCAAACCCTTTTCAAATTAAATGAAACCCTTTTTAGATGCAATGAAACTTTATTCAAATTAAATGAAACTTCCTTTTAAGAATGTTTCATTAAATTTAAAAAAAGTTTAATTTAATTTGCATAAAGTTTCATTGAATCTGAAAAAGGTTTAATTTAATTTGAAAATGGTTTCGCTTCATCTGAAAAAGTGTTTCATTTAATTTGAAAAAGGTTCCTCTTAATATGAAAATGGTTGAATTTAAAGTGAAAATGCTATATATATATTAAATCAAAGTATTAAAAACCGACACCAACCTGAATTTTGAGCTTAGAAATTGAGTTCGAAGTCGATTGAGAATGTCATAGGATAATATGCTAATCATTTTCATTATTAAGGCTTAATTTGGGCGACAATAGTCAATATGAAAATCTAAAACGCTAAGAAACCTTAGCTTGTGAGGCCATTCTTTACTATAATAGAACCTAACTAAATTCAATTTCTTCAATTAGTTCAAAATCGAGTCATCTGACAGATTTTTGCATGCTCAAACATACATATGAATTTTGTTATTTATATGAATGGAATAGAGAGAGGTAAAAAAAAAAAAATTGCTTTGCTATGACAAGCTTTCCTCTCCGCTGAAGCCGTGCGACTTCCGCGCACTACTTTTTGCAAATTAATAAAATTTCATCTGCCTAAAAATCAGTTCACAGCGACTGTGCATTTTGGGTAACCTCGATTGGTTGCCGGCACTGGTTCGCATTTCAACAAGTCATCGCATCGACAACAAACAACAACGCACGCGGAGAGGGTTCGATGCATGAAAAATGTGTTCTGTTGTAGCTTTGCCAATTGGCAACTGCCTCGAGCTGCCTGCCAGGCACGAGATTCAAGCGACGACTTTGCGATGGGTGCGTGTGTGTGCGTTTTGTGCAGCGCCTTACATGCATCGGCAGCCAAGTGTCGGTGAGCCACTAAACAACAGCAAACCCGAACATCCATGTACAACATGCCAACCCCTGGTTGCGTACACCCCACCCGGCACCGCCTTCACCACCATGGGCCATTGGCTGCTGGCTGCTGGCTGCTGTCTGCATCGCTCTTTCGCTGCAATTAAGCATAAATACCGAAATCGGCGACACTCGAGTGACAGGTGCTGCCAAACTGCGTTAAATCAACAGTCGACGCGCCAATAACAATTGCAACAACATTTATGTACATTCTAGCACAAGAACAACAAAAATGTGCATTTGACTTGCATACATATGTATGTCGCTCTGGCTCTGGCCGCTTCTCGCCGTTCGCTGCCCGTTGCCATCACTGTTTTTGCTTTCGAATGCATTCGCGAATGCAGTACGGCAAGGAGCGAGTGGGTGTCTGAGTAAGAAAGCAGGGCGGTGCAATGTGGCAGATGGATGTGGCATGCTGTCGCCAACACACACGCGCGTGATTTCTTCCTCACTTTGTTGTTATTTTATTTTATTTATTATTTGCTTATTTTTCAACTTTGCACCCAGTCGATCCCAAATGAAGTGTTGTTAAAGCTGCAACGGCATTTCGAAATTGAATGCGCAGCTGTGTCTAAGTAACAGACCATTACTAAAATCCCTCTCCTGATCACATCAAAGCAAGTTCTGATTCAGAATATAGACTGGCCAATATTTTCAGGTCGCTATTATTTTTTGGGCAGTTCAGATGATGCCACCGCTTCGTTCCCTAAATAGTTGGTTGATATCCTTATAGTATTTTCAAATAAAACTACAGATTGGCTCATCTCTTACATCGATGTTTGAATTCGCCCGAGTTCGCAGCGGACTCTATAAGGTCATAGGAACTCCGCTGGAAATGAGTGAAAGGGTATACAAATCGCTCAATCGAAATTGCTTTACACAGGAATGCCCAGAGAAATAAGGGAAAATAAAACCAGCTGCCGATGTTGCTCATGCGATGATGCAAAAACTGTCTACGCTATCAAAACGGAAGTTTGGATCTCCATTTGTCAATCATAGCACAAGCAGCTCTAAAGCTTGATCTTCATTTGAGTAATTTCCCGCTGGCATTTTAGTTTTATTAAATTTTTCAATATTTCGTTTACAAAATGCCTCTTTAGTGCTCCCCTCAGTTCTACAAACAAAAATAAACGAATCCTTTTGGCCATGAGGCTATTCTTATGAAAAAATAAACAAAGCGAAATATTTCAATACCTTCGGGTATTACTGGCCAAACGAAATTTTACCTCCAAAATTCGTGTAATTTGATAAAATACGCGTAGGTTAATGAGGCCGTAGGTTGACTGCGATGCTCAGGCAGTGAAACGTTGCGCACAAAATAATTACCCAGAAGCAGCATCAGCTCCAATAACGGCATTGAACTTAGCTTCCATCTAATGGGAAGGTATTAGGTACTCCCCCAAAGCGAGCAAGCGGCACTGAACTGTGTGTTCATAAATACGCCTGTGGAGCCACATGGCAGAGGTAAGGGCTTTAATAGAAAACTGAAATTCACTGCGCTTTAAAGCTGCAAGCACACACAACCCCAACACTCCCCGCCCTCGCCCTCGCGTTTGCTAGTAATTTGTTTTAATAAAATTTTTGTTTTCATAAAATATTTAGTTACAAAATTAACCGAAGAGCTTTGCAAAATCTGTGAGTGGCCAATGCGCAAACTGACGTAAGCAGCCGGTGACGAAGGCGAATACTTTCAATTGAAACGAGCTGATGGACCAGCAGCAAGAGGTAGGCAAACCAATAGGGTCACTTAGGAAGCTTCCAGCGATTTGTCGTAATTACTAAAATGCAAATTTAATTAAAATTGAAATGAAGAATCCACAGAATATTAAAACTGTTGCAAGTAAATTAATTGCCTTGGTTTGTAGCTGCGCAAAAGTTGTAAAATGTTGCAGAGAAAAGAATCGAGTGAGCTTAAAAGAAATAAATGCTTATTATTATCCAAATGAATAAATCCCCGATTTCACTTTTTGGGCTAAAAAACGCTTTTCGAGTGGTAAAAAATTTATGTATAAAATTAAGTCTGATATTACGCTAAACTATACGAAAATTCGTGCGGGACAATAACGTACTAACGAGCAAGAATGGTTTCAAAAGCTTCCCACTCAAACGCACAAGCGTTCACGCATTTCTTGCATAGATATTTATGGCAATACATACATATGCATATAACATACAGCCACATTGGAGATCCCCTATAACAATCTGCAAATCAAGAAGCTCTTCACTTAAAATCATTCAATATGTCCAAAGCTTGCATAATCCTCTCTGCATACACGCACACATATGTGTGTATGTATGTATGTATGTATGTGTGTGTGTATTCCATTTCCTCCCCCTCTTCTCAATCGACGCAACGAGAGTTGTTCGTCAATAAGCACGTCAGTTGCACAACGGTAAAATGCGCGCACGTGCCCCAAGCACACTGACGACAGCAATGCAACAAACAGCTATGCAGGCCACTGTGAGTTGGGGAGCCGAAAGCAGTTGCCTATTGCCTATATTACCTATGAGTACGTGTGTGTGTGTGTGTGTGTGTGTGTGTGTGTTTGCGTATGCAGCGCAGGCTTTGAAAATTGGATGCATGTACATACATACGTGTGCACTTATGCGTCCCAAACAGCAGCATGGAACGTTTCTAAATTT